TTTTCTGTAATCTCATAATTTCTTTTCTGTGTCGAAGATCTCACCTTCCTGGTATCTGGGCTTCCCTAGCTGCTTCTTGAAGTAAGCATCAGTAAGATGTTTCGGGATTTTTGTACTGCTATCAATTTTGGTTGAGGTGGCAATGAGAAATTTCTGGTGCGTCCTTCATAGAGGAACTCAATTGAGGATGAGAAGTCCAGTCACAAGTAACAAGCCACTACTAGCCAGCTGCTTCAGGAAAACCACCCTCTTGCCCTTGTGACGTCCAGTGAGGATGATCAGAATGGTCCTGGGAGTAATGCTGGCTCACAGTTTTCTCACATGCTGACTGAGGGGTTTTTTGCCATGGCTCAACAGCTTTTGAGGCACATCTTCATTAGGATAACACCTAGGCATTTTGCAAAGTTTAACAACCTGGGTACCACCGTTCTTGTCACCGCCAACTGGTTTTGTAACAGTTGCAAGAAACTTTTCTCCTTTTTCTTTTCAACCTTGGATTTAGCGGCTGAGTACTTCCTCTTGTACGTGCCTTTCTGGAATATGTGGCAGATTGGGAACACCTGCAAGTTCCTCTGACAAGGACGGGATTGTGGTTGCAATGGGGCTTCCCCTTCTTGGGGTTTTTAGCCTTGAGGTTACCCTTTTTCACTTTGCCGCCAGCATCAGCCTTCTTGACTTCAGGTTTCTTCTTTTTAGTATCTGGCTTCTCAACTTTTTCACCTGCCATCTTGCAAGATGGGAAAGAGCAAAAAATCCGGGTTTTTTTTAGCACAAGGCAGTGGCAGCTTACAAAGGGCTCTGCCTGCCCTGCCAATTCAGAGATTCTGGCTTGCAGAGAAAACAAAGTAATTTCCTATTATCATTCTTGGGTGGATAGGAATTGGTTGGGAACTATGATAGAAAACATTAAAAAGTTTAGGCCTAGAGCAGAATTATGCTAGTCTTGTAATTAAGGCAAATTTTTGGTGGAAGATATCAAATCTACTTGTTTTAAACTTTAAATCCATTTTACAAAGAATTGAATCTAAAGAACAGAATGTACTGGAACAACTTTAGTGAAACTCTGAAATGTGGAATTGTAAGGTGCACCTCCTCAGTGACCTAACAATTTAGTGGGGGAAGATCGACATGGGACACAGACTACATTTGTTCAGAAAAGCAAACATCAATGTGGCCTAGACTAGTGAGGGGCAAGTTTCCAGGAGGTGGTGAGTTTGGAACTAATGTGGCAGGATGCAGGGGACTAGGAGAGCAGGTGAGGGAAGGTGATCGCAGGAGCCTAGAACACCACTGCATATTTCATTCCCTTATTTTCTCTTCCTCATGAAGGCCCAGGGTTTTTCATGGACAGGAAGGTTTGGGGGCTGAAGTGACTAGTAGAATTGAATGTGCCAAACAGCCAAGATAAGCAGGATGGCAGCTCCTTTTATGGGAACTTGAAAGCCAGACAGAATTCAGAGATAGTTTGGTTTCCTTCACAGCATATTAATGCTCTGAAATTAAAACTGCCTTTTAATAAATCATATGCTTAGTTATAATCCTTCATGAGAAGAAAATGCTCATTTGTAAATACCATCTCTGGTTTGATAATTTTGCCCTTTTCCAAAGCACTTGGAAAGTAGCCAGCTTCCCTGAAAGAAAATGGCAAAGTTTTGTAGCAGTTGTTATTAAACTAGAGGAAGTGCTTCTGTACAAGGGAGATTCTGCACAAGGGGAGGCTGGTAGCTGGGAACCTGATAGCACAGATTCCCACCAAAGTCCATTTCCTAGACATTTAATTCAGTAATTCTGCCTCCGAGGAGACCTGCAGTAAAACCACAAAGCTAACAGATTATTTAAGTTCTCCAGGTTTGGGCTTCTTAAAGGGATATAGTCTTATGTGACAATTTATTCTTATCTATGGAGTAACAGACATCCAATCCACTGGTGACAGGCAACCTGCCCCTTTCAGAATCTGGTCCCTCTTACTCCGTGATTCAGATCTTTAGCCCCATGCCCAAGTGCTATGAAACCATTCTGTGCCTTTAAGCAAATTATATGTCTAATATAATTCACATACCATAGAATTCATCCTCTTAAAATGTACAATTCAGTGGTTTTAAATATATTCACAGAGTAGCACAACCATCACCAGAACATTTGTAGTCCCAGCTATTTGTGAGGCAGAAGCAGGAGGATCACTTGAGCCCAGGAGGTTTAGGCTGCAGTGAGCCATGATCATGCCACTGCACTCCAGCCTGGGATTTTAAAGTAGTGGTTCCCAACGGTTAGTCGCAAAGTATTCTTCTAGGGTGCTTTATAAAACTACTGATTCCTGGGCCTTACCCCTAGAGATTCTGAATCACTGGTGGAAGAGGCAGGTCTGGGAAGTGGGGACTCCAAGATCTATATTTTGCAAAGTTTTCCAGATGCTTCTGATGTACAGCTTGGTTTGTGAAACTATGTGATGCTGTATAGTGTGGCTGAAACTGGTTTCATTTAAGTGTCCCATCATTGCCAACTCCTGAATATGTCTACCATTTCTCTGAGAATTCCAACTGCTCAGAGCTTTGCTTAGGAAGGGGAGGGGACAGCCTCCACGTTTCCATGACATGTGTGACTGGACCAAGAATGGAGTCCTGAACCAGTCTAGGCCAGCACAATTTTCTCTCCCAGGAACTTGGACTTTAGATCAAGACTTGAAATCAGTCGCAAGTTGGTTGTGACTAACTGGAAAGATTTTTTAGAGCTGGTGAAGCCATTTTCCACCAAATGTCCATTAATGGAGACTGTATCTTAAAAGAAAAGTAGAGAAAAGGAAACAGATGGGCAAAGAAAAGTTTGTTTTTTCTACCCTACTACAAATACAAAATACTCTAAATTTAACACATTCCATATTCTCATTCCTCACCCAAAAGAACTGTTCCCTCATCGATTTCTTGATTCCTGGTATTGCAGCACCATCAGATTTCCAAGCACTGCCCTTCTCTCACCCTCCTACTTTGAATAAGTGCTGTTAGTTCTCTCTCCTTTTCGTTCCTCATTCCTCTGCTGGAGCCATTTTTTGGGCCACCATTTCTTACTTGGGCTAACCAACATTCCAGCTCTAGGCCTCTTTACTGACTTCTGGCACAAAATTTGATCAGACCATTCCAGCACTTAAAAAGTCATGGCTCTCTGTTTTTGAGGATTATGAAATTCAAAATCTTTAGCATAGCACAACAAACCCTTTGTAAGATAGGATCCCAGCCAGACCCCTCTCCTGTCATGCAAGTAGCCTCTTTTCACAGGGTGCCTCACACCTCTGCATATTTCATTCCCTTATTTCCTCTTCCTCATATCCTGTACTCCTCTTTTAGGTACACCCCTTACTTCTAGTGCTTCAAAGCACAATTTGAATATCAACTCTTTTTAAAGTCATTGTATTAGTCCTTTCCACACTGTTATAAAGACATACCCAAGACTGGGTAATTTATAAAGAAAAGAGGTTTAATTGACTCACAGTTCCACATGGCGGGGGAGGTCTCAGGAAACTTATAGCGGAAGGGGAAGAGGCATGTCTTACATGGTGGCAGGCACAAGAGAGCAAACCAGTGAAGGGGGAAGAATCCATTATAAAACCATCAGATCTCATGAGAACTCATATCATGAGAACAGCATAGGGGAAACCACCCCCATGATCCAGTCATCTCCCACCAGGTCCCACCCTCCACAGGTGGGGATAATGGGGATTACAATTCAAGGTAAGATTTGGGTGGGGACACAAAGCCAAACCATATCTGCCATCTCTGAATGTCTGGGCATCCCATTCTCTAGTATTTATCATAATGGTATTTTTTTCTTTCTCTCTTTTTTTTTAAATTTATTTATTTTACTTGAGGCGCATACTATATCTGGCATCTCTCCCCATGTTATCCCTCCCCACGCTCTCCTCCCTCCCCACCCCCCACTGTCTCTCCCCTACTCCCCCACCACGCCCCAGTGTGTGATGCTCCTCTCCCTGAGTCCACATGTTCTCATTGTTCAACACCCACCTATGAGTGAGAACACGCTGTGTTTGGCTTTCTGTTCTTGTGTCAGTTTGCTGAGAATGATGGTTTCCAGATTCATCCAAGTCCCTACAAAGGACACAAACTCATTGTTTTTTANCTCCCCTACTCCCCCAACGCCCCAGTGTGTGATGTTCCTCTCCCTGAGTCCATGTGTTCTTGTTGTTCAACATCCACCTATGAGTGAGAACATACGGTGTTTGGTGTTCTGTTCTTGTGTCAGTTTGCTGAGAATGATGGTTTCCAGATTCATCCAAGTCCCTACAAAGGACACAAACTCATTGTTTTTTATGGTTGTATAGTATTCCACGGTGTATATGCACCACATTTTCTTTGTCCAGTCTATCATTGACGGGCATTTGGGTTGGTTCCAGGTCTTTGCTATTGTACACAAGGCTGCAATGAACATGCGTATGCATGTGTCTTTGTAGTAGAATGATTTATAGTTCTTTGGGTATATACCCAGTAATGAGATTGCTGGGCCAAATGGAATTTCTATTTCTAGATCCTTGAGAAATCGCCACACTGTCTTCCACAATGGTTGAACTAATTTACATTCCTACCAACTGTGTAAGAGTGTTCCTGTTTCTCCACATCCTCTCCAGAATCTGTTGTCTCCAGATTATTTTTTTCTTTTCTTGAGATGGAATTTCGCTCTTGTTACCCAGGCTGGAGTGCAATAGTGCGATCTTGGCTCACCACAACCTCCGCTTCCTGGGTTCAAGCAATTCTCCTGCTTCAGACTCCCAAGTAGCTGGGACTACAGGTGTACGCTACCATGCCCAGCTAATTTTTGTGTGTTTAGTAGAGACGGGGTTTCACCATGTTGACCAGGATGGTCTCAATCTCTTGACCTCGTGATCCACCCACCTTGGCCTCCCAAAGTGCTGGGATTATAGGTGTGAACCACCGTGCCTGGCCTCCAGATTTTTTAATGATTGCCATTCTAACTGGTGTGAGGTGGTATCTCAAAAAAATATGGAACGCTTCACGAATTTGCATGTCATCCTTGTGCATGGGCCATGCTAGTCTCTGTATTGTTCCAATTTTAGTATATGCGCTGCCAAAGCAAGCGTGGTATTTTTTTTTTCCTTCTCTTTACTGAGAGACTGAGGTCTCCATTATCCATGGTACTGTAATTATTTGCTCATGTATCTCTTCCATAAGACTGTGAATTCAACTATGTCTTCTTCCACACCCAGGGAATGCTTGGCACATTAACTAGGTGTCTCAGTCTATTTTGTGCTGCTAAAACACAATAACAGACTAGATAATTTTTAAATGATAGAAATTTATCTATCACAGTTCTAGGATACAAGATCAAGGTGCCAGCATCTTGTGAGGGCCTTCTTGCTGTATTCTCACATGGTAGAAGGGCAGAAGAGCAGAATAGGACACCCACCCCACAAACCTTTTGATAGCAGCATTAATCTATTCATGAGGGTCGCTCTATTCATGAAGGTGGAACACTCTTGACCCAAATGCCTCCCATTAGGCCCCACCTCCCAATATTCTTGCATTAGAAATATAAGTTTCTGACATATGAATTTTGGGGGACATATTCAGACTATAGCAGTAGTCAGTGTTTAATGTACAAGAAGATGAATAAACAGGCTTAGCAATGTTATCAGGGACAATAGATGGGCAAGATGCCATTCTGTGCCCAATCTCCTATCAAGTTCTGCCCTCCCACCACCCAGCACTATGTGCCTATGCAGGTATGTGTCCTTTGAGCAAAACACAGCAAGGAAAGAGGGAGAAAAATCTGTGTTTTCACCTTTTTTCTTTTTAAGAGATGGAGTCTTGCTGTCTTGTCCAGGCTGGATTTGAATTCCTGGGCTCAGGTGTTTTCCTGCCTCTACCTGCAAGAAGCTGGGACTAAAGGTGCACACCACTGTGCCAGGTGTTTGTGGTCACTCTTTAAAGGTGAGTCTGCATTCACCTTTGGAATAGTTCTAGTTGTCAGAGATTGAATATCCTATTTCAAAAAGCAATATCCTTACAACTGCCTTTGATGATTTGAGATGGGACCACTGGGGAAAACTCCAGATGACTAGGGGACAAGTAATTTGATTACAGTGCCAAAAATGCTTCCATTTAAGGAGCCAAAGTGTGCAAATGTGTGTAAATGGATCCAATCTATTTCCAGGATGTGCCTGGAGTAACTGTAATGTATGTAAGTTGATCCAACCTATTTCTGAGGTGTGCCCGGACATAAATGGTTAACACTGACAAACACACCTTATGAAATCTACCAACAACTGAGGGTGCCAGGCACCTCTTCTACCTCCCTGGAAGGCCAGCTGGGGCGGCGTTTGGAAGTTGTCTTCGGCCCCTGTCCCCTCCCGGGACGTGGACGTTCCCCTTGAACTTGAGCCACGCCTGCCGAGGCCTGGTGGGCGGGCCCGACACGTGGAGCGCGGGTCTGATTCTCGGATGGGGCCTACGCCATTGCCGCGCGGCAGCTCCGGGCCAGGCCCTCGCCCTACGTCAACAGCGTAGGCCTAGCTGTTCAGGTTTACTCTTACGCCACTGACGTAACGTCATCGTGCTGGACGTGTACGGAAGGAAAAAGACAGTGAGCTGGCGCCGGAATCGGCCCGGCGTGGAGTGCGGACCCGCGGCTAGCCCGGGCGGCGGTGAGGCAGGTAGGCGGCGAGCGGCCGGCATGCCTAGGCGCCCGCGTTTCTGCGAAGGCTGATGCGCGCCCAGGTTCAAGCGCGAGGGGCATGAGCGCCGGGTCGCGGGTCACCGAAGAGGCTGGGGGTCGCGGCCGGAGCAGCTGCCAGAGCCGGCGCCAGAGCCTGGGGATCTGGCCCGCGGGAGGATGTGGGTCTCGGCGGAGGGATGGCGGCTGCACCAGGCCGCCCAGGGCGCGCTCCCATATGCCGGTGCGCGGCGGCCCCGGGATCTACGGATGGCTACGGGCCTCCGGCTTCCCATGCCGCCCCTGGCTACACCAGGTGAGGAACTGGGCCAAGTGGAGAATTCAGGCCCCTTCTTGGTCCAAGAGTCCGGAGCCTGCACTGGTGCTGGCGGTGGTGACTGCGCCGGGATGCCGCGGGTTGTAGCTGGCCACACGCCGACGGGGGTCTGGGTCTCTAGTTCCCCGCGGCCCTCCGGGCGTTCGTGATCCCCTCCTCAAAGCCGGACTCCCTTTGCAGTATGGCATACTGTGTACGCTGGGGCCTTTCTGTTACAGCAGGGCGCACCCAGATCCCTTCCCCCATTATTGTCCCCTGCCCTCTAACGTGGTGAGGCCCATCGGGTCTTTGTGTTTGAGTAGTGAGCCATATACCGAGCATGTGTTTGTCGGTGAACTGTGTTGGGACTGAAGTTCAGTTCTCTGTTCAAATCAGTTAGATAAGGGTTTTCTGTTTACAGTCTGTAAAGAGATACTTGAGAAATGTTTTGAGTTAAAGCATGACAACTTTTATCAACTGATGATATGAAGTCTAAACACACACAGAGTCTAGACACAGTCACACGAATCTAGACACATGAGTCCACACACACACACACACACCCCATTTACTCCTTGAGATCAACTATGTGCTTCTCCAGGGCGTAATACACTCTGGCAAGGTGAGCTATCCATTGCAGCGAGAGAGCAGATGTAACCTCCGAGGTCAGACAGAGATGGTGGTACAGGGCAGAGGCCAGGAGGCTTGGTTTCTACATCAGCCTTCAACTTCTAACTCAGTGACGGTAAATGTTCAAAGCTTTCAATCACTCTTGGGTAATAGGTAAACAGTCAATCAATATATGTGTGATTATATCTAACAGGAATATTCATTGAATTCTTTGTTCCCTGATGGGTCTTGAAGGAAATTAAGGAAAAAATAAATGTAAGGCATCATTAGTGGCTAAAAGACAAAAGGAGGAAAACTGACATTAACTGACCATCTGTTGTACCCATGCATTATCTCATTTAATTCTCACTGTAATTTCATGACATCCTTAGTGTTAGTATCCCTGATTTATAAGTGAGGAAACAGAGGCTTAGAAAAATTAAGTAACTCTCCACAAGACACACAGATAGCAAATGCAGAGATTGAACCCAAATCTGACCAACTCCACAGGCCTTGTTGTTTTTGCCATATTGTCAATGGGACGTTTGTAATCCAGATGGGAAACGCAGTAGTCATGAACTACTTAAAAGCTAACCCATAAAATTATATCCAGCCGTGAAGACCTATAGAGTTGCTGGGGAAGGTTTCTTAGGGAGGTGGAACTAGAATTTGATTGTTTTACCTTTTGGCTCTTCTACAAGTATTTTGGAGAATTCACATGTAAATAATTGTTTAGCAGCCATTATTGAAGGAATTTACATAAGCAGCAAACATGGATCATGGGCTAAAACCATACTTCAGTGTTATGAAAAAACTGAAATCAACAATTAATACTTTCTGTTGCCTGCTAGATGCCATATGTTTTAGAATAGCTGTATCCTGCCAGTCTCTGTCCCATTTCGGTGCTGTCGTGCTGTATAAGTTGTAAAGCAATACACACATCCCTGATTTTTCTTCACCATAGGGCTAAATGCTGGTCTTCTGAGGCACATTTAGGAGGGTTGGGATATATCCACCAATCCATAGAGCAAAAGTTAAAAGGAGGCCCACAAACAAAGTGGAATATTTTTCTTACCTTGTGAAAACAGCAGTGTCTCTATAGCATAATGAGAGCTACAATAATGAATGGCTTGTTCTCTGTGTACATATGGGAAGGAGTCCCTGCTTTTTTGTGAAATAAACTATTTGTTGCTGCATTAAAAAAACAAAAAAACGATTTGTCTAAAGTCTCAAATTTTGACCCAAGGTGGGGAAATGCCCATAGCCGCCTCATGTTGTCAACTGAGATTTGTAGCCATGTTCTTATCCTCCACAGGATTAAGATGTTAACGCCAGTTGCGGGCATTGCTGCTGCCTTCCATGGGTGCAAGAGTTACTTTATAATCCTGTGGGCAACAAAGACATGGCAGCAGCCTTTGGCCTTTCCTCTTGCTTCTCATGGCTGTCTGGCAGGGATCAAGCTGACATTTCAAATATGTGTATTCCCCGGTTCTGTTGGGAGGTGTTAGTAGAAAGGCGGACATGGTTGCTTTAGGATGTTGGATCTGTTGTAGGAATTATATAAAGATTTAGTATTAATACATAAGCATTGCACCTGAGAGATTTTTTTTATTTAATTAGGAAGATGCCAAAAAGAGCAGATGTTTTTTGTCTATCAAAATGTTCATAGCCCTGCATTGTTATTTGCTTACATAAACACTAAGATGGTTCTAGAAAAGGAAGGGTTAGGGTTGAGGCCTAGAGAGAGGCACTTATTCTTTCTCTCTTTTCTATAATATAGAGGAGGTTGAAGTTTCTCTAATACAGAGGAGTTTGGAGCAGGAGAGTCAGATTTTTACTCCAACAGTAAGGGGAGGTAGAGGGAAATAAAATGAATTGTCCAGTATTTTTCATTATTCGCTTTTTAAAAACTGTATTCTGCCGGGCGCGGTGGCTCAAGCCTGTAATCCCAGCACTGTGGGAGGCCGAGGCGGGTGGATCACGAGGTCAAGAGATCGAGACCATCCTGGTCAACATGGTGAAACCCCGTCTCTACTAAAAATACAAAAAATTAACTGGGCATGGTGGCGCGTGCCTGTAATCCCAGCGACTCAGGAGGCTGGGGCAGGAGAATTGCCTGAACCCAGGAGGCGGAGGTTGCGGTGAGCCGAGATCGCGCCATTGCACTCCAGCCTGGGTAACAAGAGCGAAACTCCGTCTCAAAAAAAAAAATAAATAAAATAAAATAAAAACTGTATTCTGCAGATACTTTGGACAGTGACCACATCGCAGCATGCTGAGTCAAGTTTACCGCTGTGGGTTCCAGCCCTTCAACCAACATCTCCTGCCCTGGGTCCAGTGCACAGCCGTCTCCGGATCTCGTATGTACCATAGGAAACTTATGAGTATCTGGGAAGTTTGGTTGTCAAAGTATGTTTCAGATGAGGTTTTAAAAGAGAAAAAGGTGTTTGCTTGGAGACAGGGTCTCATTTTGTCACCGAGGCTGGAGTGCAGTGGCACAAACA